TCCTTCCTTCCTTCCTTCCTTCCTTCCTTCCTTCCTTCCTTCCTTCCTTCCTTCCTTCCTTCCTCCCTCCCTCCTTCCTTCCTTCTCCTCTTTCTCTCTCTCTCCCTCTGTCTCTCTCTCTTTCTCTCTGTTTTTAAGTACTAGAGATTGAATCTAGAGGCACTGAATCTAGAGGCACTTGACTACTAAGTCATATCCCCAGCCATTTTTATGTTTTATTTTGAAACCGGGTCTAGCTAAGTTGCTTAGGGCCTCACTAAATTGCTGAGGCTGGCCTCGAACTTGTGATCCTCCTGCCTCAGCTTCCCCACTTGCTGGAATTATAAGTTTGTGTCATCTTGCCTGCCCAATACCATTCTGCTTTCTAAGAAACCTCTCTCCTCAGAACCCTCTGAGAGGAAAATGACCTAGAAACCTCAAAACAGAAAAGCTACTTCAGCAAAATCTAACTAGAAAGATTTTCTTCTTTTGGTGGCAGCACTTTCTCACCTATGATTATACTCTCATAGTCTTATTAAATAAATGAATGAAAAAATGTAGAATGAGTGGGAAAGAATGCGGAATAGAGGAAAATGTAAAATTTACATAAATCTTTGAAAATATTACTGGATAAAAGAAAAAGTCACTGTCTTAGTTTAAGAGCAGAAAAATATATGTGACTAGTTTACTTTCTAAATTATTTGGCACGTCAAAATTTTAAATATATATTTTTTCAGATGAATGTCCACTAATTTAAAATGCTTTTCATGTATTAATAACTTTTTATTATGTGTGTTAGCCTCAAGGTGAAGATTTTTAAACACCCTAACATCTTTAAGTTATTGCTAGTTTAGAAGAAGAATTGCTATAACATCAAGTCAAAGAAAACAGTTTTCTCACAGTGTTATACATTTCAAAAAGAAACAAGAATAACAAATACACTTTATACTTAATTTCTATAAATGGATACAGATCCTGATATTCACTTTAAGCCTAATCTCTGAACGTTTACTTAAAAGGAAAAAAAGCACTGAAAAACTTCTCAAATATATCAGGTAAAAATATAAATTTAGTTTTTTTTTCTTTGATTAAAGGCTTTTTTTTCCATGTGCAAGGGCAGTGCCCTCTAAGGCAAAAGTGACCCTTATATTTCCATTTCACCAACATTTAGCCAAAGTACACTGGAATTATAATCACCTGAATTTTAAATAGAAAGCATTTTTTTAAATGATGCAGACAAGATATTTAACATGAAAAGTTATTTCATATATCTTACTGGACATCTGTTTGTTGACCATTTAGCACCTATTTCTTCTTTCCTCTTTCCAAAAAATATCTAATTCTTCTTCATATATTCACCCTCTTTCCCCACATGAATTCTCTAGAAAGTTGACCTCACCCATAGCTTCATTTTTTCTGGTTTAAGCCAGATGGTACATTTTATTTCACTGGCTAACAGTGATTTATTCTTTTTAGGACTGCACATAACCTAAGATAATCTAATTAAAATGAATCTCAGAATTGTTACCCAGATGAATACATGCCCTTGTAGGTAATAATTACTATCTCCCTCTTCTCTATTATATTCTACAACTACCTTCTTTGTTTTTTTAGTTGTCAATAGACCTTTATTTTATGTATTTATATGTGGTGCTGAGAATCGAACCCAGTGCCTCACAAATGCTAGGTAAGTGCTCTACCACTGAGCTACATACCTACTTTTAACAATTTTTATAATTGGGCCTTGAAATTATGTAGACATTGTATATCTATAAATTTACAACTTTTCATTCTAAGATCTGAGTAACACTGTAGAACTGTGATCCATAAAAAGGTTGTAGCTTCTGGTGAAGTTAGAAAACTGACACTATTCAACAGAGCTTATAAAATGGAAACTACTCACCTCGGTGGAAAGTAACTGGCAGAGGACGGCAAATAGCTATAAAAAGAAAGTCACATAACAAGATGAATAGAAAAGGTCATCATTGATTACTATAGGATTCTCCATGTAAGGTTGTAAGGTGAAAATTTTTTGTACTTTCTTCTCCTAAGAAGTAAGAGATAGTGAACTCAATGATAATAAGATGGTAGCCTTCAAATTAAAAATCCTAATTTTCTAATAAATTCTTGTTTTATATAAAATATAATCATCTACAACTCAAAGGCACCAAATAAAACTACATGATTTGGCAACTATAAGAATAGCATTATATCTATTATTTGCCCCTCTAAAGATTCTTCAAGAAATAATGTTGGCCAAGCAGCATAGTAGTTTGCTTCTATTCTCTCCAACTTTCTCTATCCTCATTGAATGCAATAACTTCTGAAGGTTTTGTTGCGGTGGTTAAGAAACTAACAGTGAATATCACTTAAACCTTATGAGAACAAGACCAGAACCAGACCTACAGCAACTGAGGAAAATTAGCTGGGTTTTGTCACAGATACTCTTCACTATCTCCACCATAAACATCTAAATAAGTACTGTTAAATTAGGTGGGTTAGTATAAGTGCCTGCAAGTATGACTGAAAAGTCAGTTTTGTGATATTTTTCTGCATCAGGAACATAAATACAACCATCAGTAGAGATTTATTCCTCTCATTATACAAATTCTTACCCACAAGGGACATGCACAACTCTTTGTCAACGTGTCCATCTTCAGTCAATGCCCCAAATACCAAACCATCAGCACCATAAAGCTTGGCAAGTCGAATGTCAGCCTTCATCACCTCAATCTCACGATCTGAATATAAAAAATCACCTCCTCGTGGCCGAATCATCACAAAAACTGGGATCTGGACACTCTGTTTCACTACTTGAAGGACACCTATAAAAACAGAAAGCAGACTAAAATTCAAACATGAGCTTAAAAGCTCTAGGTAGAGCCAGGCACTGTAGTGCATGCTTGTTAATCCTAGCAACTCAGAAGGCTGAGGCAGAAAGATTCCATGTCTGAGGTCAGCCTCATCAATTTAGTGAGGTCCTAAGCCACTTGGTGAGATTCGGTCTTAAAATAAAAAGTTAAAAGGACTGGGAATATAGCTCAGTGGTAAAGCGCCTCTGGGTTCAACTCCCTGTACAGAGAGACAGAGACAGAGAAGAAAAAAAGCTCTAGGTAGTCAATAAAATAGTATTGGTCAAATACATCTGTTCTTGTGTATTATTTCTGAAAGAAAAGGAAGAATTGACTGAGTATATAGAAAGGTCTTGCCCTCAATAGTACAGTGGGCCATAATAAACTCTAGAGTGATCACTGCTCTAGAATTGCCTAACAGACCTTAACAAGACCTAGAAGTTCCAAACTGTTTCCAAATAAACTATCTGTTCAAAAATATTTATAGGAACATTCAAATTCCCAATAACAAACAAAGTAAAATTCATAATGTATTTCATTCAATAAAAAATGACCAGGCAAGAAAATAAGTCAGATCACTAAATGATAAATTAATCAAATGAAACCAATCTGATATAGATGTTAAAGTTTGCAGCCTTATTACAGGTCTTATAACTCTATTCCATATGTTCAAAAAAGTTAAGAGGAGACATGGGAGATACAAAAACAGACTAGATTTATTCTCCTTCCTTTAATAATAAAAAACAGACAAAATATTTAAAACAACAGTTTGTAAGACACTAGACATCAAACAACAAAAGATGATGATCTCTGAAAGAAAACAAGTGAGGTGAGCTCTATGATTGACCCAGTTTAATGCCTCAGTTTCAAGGCCTCAGCTCATGGAGGAGGAGCCTAGGTGGAGCCTAGAATATTAAATTTCTAGAGATGAAAAAACTACAGTGCATGAGATGAACAATATACTAGGCAAGATTAACAGCAGATTAAATATTGCAAAAGATAAGTAAATTCAAAAACAAAACTATAGGAACTGTGTAAAATGAAATACAGAAAGGAGATACTATATATATACTATATATATATAAAGGATAGCTCATCAGAGAGTTATGGGACAACTTCAAAGTACATACTTACATAAGTATAACTGAAGTCTATGAAGGAGGGAGTGGAGGATTAAAAGTACAAATGTATAGGTCCAAGAAACATGAAAAAAATACAATCTAGTACATCATAATCAAACTGTTCAAAATTAGGAATAAAGAAAACATTTTAAAAGCAATTTAAGAGATACATTATATAAAGAAAAATGAAGATATGGATATAGATTTCTTATCAGAAACAACACAAGCAGCCAGGCCTGGTGGTGCACTCCTATAATCCCAGTGGCATGGGAGGCTGAGACAGGAGGATTTCGAGTTCAAAGCCAGCTTCAGCAAAGGCACTTAACAACTCAGTGAGACCTTATCTCTAAATAAAAAATACAAAAATGGGGCTGGGAATGTGGATCAGTGGTTAAGTGCCCCTGAGTTCTATCTCCAGTACCAAAAGAAAAGAAAAGAAATAACACAAGCAAGAAGACAAAGAAAAAAAAATCTTCAAAGAACAGAAAGAAATAAAGACCCTGTCAACCTAGAATTCTACACCCAGCAAAAATATTTTTCAAGGGCTGGGGATGTGGCTCAAGTGGTAGCGCGCTCATCTGGCATGCATGCGGCCCGGGTTCGATCCTCAGCACCACGTACAAACAAAGATGTTGTGTCCGCTGAAAAACTAAAAATAAATAAATAAATTCTCTCTCTCTCTCTCTCTCTCCCCCCCCTCCTCTCTCTTTAAAAAAAAAAAAATATTTTTCAAAAATAAAGTAAAGCTGTGTACAGTGGCACTTGCCTATAATCTCAGTGATTTAAGAGTCTAAGGCAGGAGGATCTTAAGTTCAAGGCAGCCTCTGCACTGAGACCCTGTCTCAAAATGAAAAATAAAAAGGGCTATGGATGTAGCTCAGAAATAAAGTGTCCCTGGCTTCAATCACTAGTACAAAGAATAAATAAACAAACGAGAAAGAATTCTTTGTAATCCCAACAACTCAGGAGTCAGATGCAGGAGGATTGCTTTATTACTTTTATATCTTTAAAAGATAATTTTTTCAAACAAAAAAATACAGCATGAGGTTTTTGATAAACATAAGTAAAATGTCTGAAAACAACAGGACAAAAGACAGGAAGGAAGAAACAAAGACAAAAGTCAATATATTCAGGGTGCCAATATAGAAAGATTTTTTTAAAAATCTGATTTTTTTTTTTTTTTGAGAGAGAGAATTTTTTTTTTTTTTTTCAGTTTTTGGCAGACACAATATCTTTGTTTGTATGTGGTGCTGAGAATCGAACCCGGGCCGCAAGCATGCCAGGCGAGTGCGCTACCGCTTGAGCCACATCCCCAGCCCCAAAAAGTCTGATCTTTGATGCTACTGCAGAATAGCTGAATTGGTATTAACAGCAACTACCAACCTTCCAACTTTCTGATGTTTGAGAAAAAATTTTTTAATCAAATCTTTTTTTGTTTGTTTTAGTTGTAGATGGACACAATATCTTTATTTATTTTCATGTGATGCTGAGGATTGAACTCAGTGCCTCACATGTGCTAAGCAAGTGCTCTACCACTGAGCTCCAACTCCAGCCCCTGATCAAATCTTTGATAGTGTTATTTACAATCATAAACATTTCTAACTAGTACAATATTCACAACATAGTTAACATGACATTAGTAAAAGACCCCAGTGAAACTGATAAATAGTTGCCTCTAGGCTTTATAAATTCCTGTGTGAAAGAATTGGGTTATGAAGTACTCTATATGCACAAATGAGTATATCACAATGCATTCCAATTTCATTCATAACTATAATTTACCAATTAAAAATAAATGAATAGAAGGAAAACTAACAGCCAGGTGTGATGGTGCATGCCTGTAATTCCAATGATTTGGGAGGCTGAGGCAGGAGTATTGCAAGTTTGAGGCCAGCCTCTACAACTTAGTAAGACCCTAAGGAACTTAGCAAGACCCTGTCTCAAAATAAAAAATTAAAAAGAGCTGGAAATGTGGCAGTGGTTAACTGACCCTGAGTTCAATCCCCAGTACCAAAAAAAGGAAGGAAGACCAAGAAAGTAGAGGAAGGGAATCAGAAGGAGGGAGGAGGAGAGGGAAGGTGGAAGTCCTGGACACTGAAATGGAGCAAACTATGCATATGTGCTTATGAATGTCGAAATGAACTCCACTATTATGCATAACTATAATGCACTAATAAAAACATTTTTTTAAAAAAAGCTTCCTACAAGAAGTTTGGTGAAAAACAAGACACTTACCCATGCTGGGTGTGGTTCCGCCCTCCAATAAACCAGAACATAATTCAATCCGACCAGCACCTGTGATAAAAAAGCATTGCTCAACAAAGTTTTCTTAAAGCTCTTATTAAATAGCAAACTGTTTACAACATTTATTCCCAAATATAGAAGAGTCTTAGAAACTGTCTATGAGGAATCAAATTATAGACTAAAACTCTATTTTTAATCTCAACTGTATTGTGCAACCCAGCTGTGTTATGATGGTAAAATTTAAGAGTTATTCAAGCTAGTTCTCTTAAAATTTTAAATTTTAGGGTTGCCATGCCCAGGGAAATGACTTAGAATAAAGATATTACCAGACCATAGTAAAATGTTGGCTCTTTGTTGATAATACCATAATCTTTTCCAAAACAATCTATTATTTTAAGCTTTAAAAAACAGTTATGCTAACCCAATGATTCAAATGTATGAATTGCCAAGATCATTGTAATGTCATGTGTAGATAATTAAAAAAAAAAGTTATGCTGGGTATAGTGAAAACTATAATAAAGAACTGAAAAAAAAAAACCAAAAAGAGTCCTTCTCAGGAGGCTAAGGCAGGAGGATAGCAAGTTTGAAGTCAGCCTCAGCAACTCTGTGAGACCTTCAGCAACTTAGCAAGACCCTGTCTCAAAAAAAAAAAAAAAGTTAGAAGGGGATGTTGTTCAGTAGTAGAGACTTCCTGGGTTTATCACCAGTCTCCATCCCCCCCCCCCCAAAAGAGTCCTTATCTTCTAGAGATATATTCTTAAATATTCAAGGATGAAATTACATGATATATAGGGTTTTCTTCAAAATAATCTGCGGTTGGGAGAAGTTCAGCAGGTATACAGATCAAGGGTCAACAAACCATGACTTGCAGGCCAAAGGCCAATAGTTTATTTTTGTTATTCTTAGCCTGAAGAGCAAAGAATGTTTTATGGGTTTTAAAAAATAATACCTTTATTAACATGTAATCTACATGCCATATAATCAACACACCTAAGGGGTATACAATTCAGAGTTTTGCAACCATCACAATGAATTTTAAGACACTTTCAACATCCTCCTAAATAACCCCCACCCTTTAACAGTCATCTCACCTTCTCCCCAAGCCTTTCAGCACTAGGCAATCATTCATCTATTATCTGTATCCATAAATTGCCTATTCTGGACATTTCTTATGATTGGAAATTGTACAATGTGGTATTTTGTGATTGGTTTCTTTCACTCAAAATGTTTCAAGATTCATCTGTTATTGCATATATCAGTACTTTATTGCTTTTTATTGCCAAGCCAAGAAGTTTTTACATTTTCAAAGAATTATCATTATTTTTTAGAATTTAACCTTTATTTGTTTTTATGTGGTGCTGAGGATCAAACTCAGGGCCTCACTAGTGCTAGGCAAGCACTCTATCACTAAGCCACAACCCCCCACCCCCGGCAAAGGATTTATTTTTTTTTAAAGAGTAAGTTATAAAGACCAAATGTGGCCAGCAAAGCTGAAAATATGTACTATGTGGCTCTTTAACAAAAAAGTTTGCTGATCCCCGATATATTGAAAGAAGAGTGGCCATGTGTTAAAAATGATTGAAGTAATGGATACACAGGATTCATTATTCTACTCTACTCTTGTAATATATGTTTGAAATTTTTCCATAATAAAAAATTTAAAAATTGTTCTGATTCTGAGATAATGGAAATGTCTGTGCTTCCTATTTAAACAAGTTCAGAGTACAAAAGAAACCTTGGATAAAAATAAATAATGTTTCTCAAACCATCTTAATTTTTTTCCCCCAGTGTTAGGTTTGAACCCAGGGCCTCATATATGCTAAGCAAATGATCTACCATTGAGCTACTCCCCAGACCCTTGTGAAAGCATCTTTAAACCAAAAGTTTGAAGTTTTAGATAAGTTCAATAAAATGTCAATGAATAAACATTACTGTGGACATCTGTCTCAAAATGTGACCTGCTTGAAAAGGAGCGAAACTAGATTATAATTTTCCAGTAGGTTTTCTAGTTTGTTGTTTTCAAGAGGATTATCAGCCCTTGGAGATCACAAGGGCTTCTGAGATCAGTTTACAGGATTTATTTTCAGACTCTTAAAAGGGTTGCCAACTGTTATTCATACTCTAATTTTTCTTACCTCCTCTTTCTGCATTCACAGCTGACTCTACTGAATCAACACACACTTCCATGAGAAATCCATTTGTTGCTCCTAAAATTCATGGAGAACAGAAATTCATGAGGATACTGTCCATGTGGACCAATCCCCCACAAAGATTTTATTTATTTTTTAAAACTTTCCTTGATTTTATTTATTTTATGTGGTGCCGAGGAGCAGCAAATCCAGTCCCTCACACATGCAAGGCCAGTCAGTGTTCTACCAATGAGCCACAACCCCAGCCCAAAACTTTAAATATTTTTAAAAGTATTTTATTTTTCTGACAATGGTAGGGAAATAGATAAGTACACTAGGGCCTATGAATACAGTAAAATTCCATGTTTATTATTAAATTGATATCTCTAGACTGTGAAATACATTCAGAGTCATCTGCATAAGAAATCATACTAAGGAAAACATATGCTGAATCTAAATTAACTTCCTAAGACAGATTTCATCATTATACCCCAGCTCAGATTCTTATAATGCTCTCAATGTCTATAAAATGTTTAAACATCTTTATAAGGAAAATATGTTTAAAAGTGGGAATGGACTTCAAATCCTGATCCCACCATCTATTTATTGTGTTATCCCTGACAAGTTAACCAAGTTTCCCATAAAACAGGGTAGGCTTTAGTACCTACCTTACAGTAGTGAATATCGGGAAACAATTTACATAAAAGGGCATTCAAAAAATATTCACCACCACAAATAAACTACACATTATTTCCTCTTTATGCCTGCAGTCCCCTCCAATCTCCACCCTTGGTACTGCTTATGCCATCTCTTTAGCCCACAAAATCCTTTTAGCTTCATCTTTAAATGACACAAGTTTCCAAGGCATTTATCATATTTGTCACATTTCCATGACTTTTTTCTCTCTCCCAAAGTAAGGAAATACATCTTTTAACTCACATAACTTTGTATATTACACATTCCTCTTATTTATCTATTTTTGGTACTAGGGTTTAAACCCAGGGGTGCTTTACCACTGAGCTACATCCCTAGTCCTTTTTTTTTGAGACAGTCTTGCTGAGGTGCTGAGGCTAGCCTTGAACTTGGGTTCCTCCTGCCTCAGACTCTAGAGTTGCTAGGATTACAGGCATATACCTACATTCCTCTTTAAAAGACTAATTACAATTATATTTTACCTCTTCTTTATGCAGATAAGTATCTGATCACTCTTAGTTGACCTAAAGTTCCTAAGGTTTTTATGTAAGAAATCTTTATCATCACTGACAACAAATATATGCTACACAACAATCCCTCAAATATTTATTAAAATAACTAACACATTCATAGAAAGTCATATATTGATACTAAAAATATGATACAAACAGAGTTTTGAGTTTTTCCTGTAGGTTAAGCATATAATTTATTTTTAAATTAAAATATTGAATGCATACTTCATACAAAGACGTCTGGAATAATGTTCACTACATACTGGTAATGGTTACCACTGGGTGGTAAGATTTGAAATTCTTTTTACTTTTCTATGATGCTTACATTTTTCTACCCAATGTTTTTATAATAAAAAATAAAACAATTTTACTTTGAAAAGCAAACAAAACAAAAATCTATCATCAGCTAACATCACATTTCAACTGTATCATTTATTTAAAAGACTATGAGTCCCTAACTGTGAAAGAGTTAAGTGTTGATCTATTCTCTTAATCAACAACATTGCTTCAACTCCCTAAGTCTCCTAATGGCTACCACATTATTGTCACACAGATGGAACTGGACAATGCTGCAGTATTACCATTAGCCTCACACTAGAAATGACCCTGCCAGGGAGGGTGGAGATGCACACAAAAGGCTATGACAACAGGTAGAGTAAGGGAGGTGTACTAAGCAACAGTTATTTGTACAGATCAAAGGAAAAGATACTTGTTTGAAGCAGTAGTGCTCAAAATGAGGTAGTTCAGGACCTCTGAAATTCTTTTGATTTGTGGAATTAAAATCATTTTTTATAATATTAAGACTTTAGTTGCCTTTTTCACTCACTCTTACAAGTGAAGTTTTCAGGGGGATACTTGACACATCAGATTGAATGCAAAAATAGGTATGAGAATCAAATTGTCTTCCATGAAGTCGAGTTAATATTTATAAAAGAGTTTTGAAAAATCTGTAACATAGTCACTTTCTATACTTTAAGAATATTTATTTTTCATAAAAGTTACGTTTCCATGTAACGGGTTTATTATAGTTATTTTCTAATTAGTCTGTCGTTTTTAAAATGTTTTAATTTCCAGTATGATCGAAATCGACAGCTATAACCCATATAGAGCTCCTTGGAGGTTTCTAATAATTTTTAGGATAAGGGAATCCTGAGACGACAAAAAAAAAAAAAAAAAAAGGAGATAGAACCAAGAATTCACGGAGTAGGAGAAGGCACCTGGAAAATCCTGCAGAGCCCGCTCGGTTAGCCAGCCCTGGCGCGGAGGGAGAACTAGGGACTTGGGGCCACTGCCACCTGGCAGCAGTGACTCTGGGAACAAACGGCACGGCCGCTGTGGCAGCTACAAGCTGCTGAGCGGCCACCACAGATGAGGCCTGGTCCGCTCTCCATGGGCTCTCACGGCGATGGTGAGGGGGAACTGGGTGACGAACGGCTGGGACGAGCTAACCAACTCGCATTACTGTCGCACGACGGAGCGTGGTGGCGCCGGGATTCGAACCCACAGGGGCGGCTCCAGCACCAGCTCACGTTTCCACACCCTTAAAGCCGTAAGGCTAGGACACGCCGCGCCAGGGACTGGGGAAACGCCTCCGGGAGAAATCGTGACAGGCCAGGCCCCCAACCGGCCGACCGCCCCCGGCCCCGCCACCTTCCGCACCCGCCTTCCCCGACGCTATCCACGCTGGTTTCCGCTCGGAGGACGCCCCCTGCCTCTTCATGTTCTACACGTTTCTCCCCCGGGTGCCTTCGGCTTCCACTCCGAGCCGGGGTTGCCGCGCGCGCGACCGGATAAGCGCGTCCTCCACGGCAGCGCGCGCCGTGCGCGTCCCCGAGCCCCGAGCCCCAGCAGCCTCTACGGAAGCAGAATCGCCAGCACACGTGCCAGTCTCGCGCGAATGAGGAGCTCGCGCTGCCTGACTCGGAAGTGTTTCTGCTTTCTGTGGCGGAGAAAGGAGACCGTGGAGTGCTAGCTTGTGCTGCTGGCTGTTGTGCGGTGGTGTAACTATGCAGCGGTTGCTCTTTCCGCCCTTGAAAACCTTGCTGGGGAGCCAAAGTGTCCGGCTTTTGGTTCCTAGGGCGGCGCCTAGAACACAGGTACCTCACCTCCTCGACTCCGGAAGCGGGGATGGGGTGAAAAGGCCAGAATAAAGATAATAGAGCCCCAAGTCATGTTACTTTAGCTCCTTCCAATTCACTCTGGCATTTTATGTATTCAGACCACCCGAGTTCGGATCCGGACATGCAGCTTGCTGCTGAGCGTTATCGGCCAAGTTACTCAACTTTTCTGTACCACGATGTCTTTGTAAACAATACCTACATCTTAAGCTTGTTGTGAGGATTAAATGGTTTAATTACACATCAAACATTTAGCACATGGTAACAACGCAACAGTTTTTACATGCACGCTTAATTTTTGCCAAAAAAACCCAAAACAGTAATCATAACTCCAATCTACACAGAGGGAAATTGAGGCTTAATTCAAATTACTCGTCTAACGTTGTTTAATTAGAAGTAGGAAACTGAACATGGATCTTTTTACTCATAGGGATACAGCCAGAAGAGGGCATGAATTCTCTTAACTGATCATCGTGGGGTAATTATTTTGTGTTAGGAACGGGGGAGAGAAAGATAAATACTGCAAGATTCCTGCCCTGGAGGAAGTCACAGTTCATTCGTTAATTCGTTTGTTAAATCTTTAGTAAGGCCTTGTTATGTAAGGAAACGGTGTTAAGATATAAAGGTAGCAGGAGGGAAAGAGCAAGCCTGACCAGATTCTGCCTTCCAGAGCTCATTGTAATGAAGATATATTAAGATGTTTTAAGGGCTGTGATAGGAGAGGTACAGTATGCTATGGGAGTGACCCATTGCAGAAAGTCTGGGAGCGCTTCCCAGAGGAAATGACATATAAGCTGAGATCTGCAGTAGTTAAGCAGTCAGAGGACAGGGTGTGTTGCAGAGGAGAAAGAAAATAATCCTTATCTAGGTGTAGAGTGAAGTCAGAGGCAGGGGCATATGCAGAGAACTATTAGAATGAGGCAGAAAAACCAGTGTTCCACTTAAGAGATGATGATTTACCAGGGCTGTAGCTATGGAGATGTATGTGGTCTTACAGCTTACTTTGGCCCAGTCAAATTGGGGTTGAGTGTGGCTAGCAGCTGTTCCTCATTTCTTTAGTTATAATCTATCTATCTTGGTCCTTAGTGTGGTTGCAGCTGTGGCATCAGACGCCCTCTGAGGTCAGGGCAGTACAGCACCGTCTCTGAAGTGGCTTTGCAATCTGGAAGGGAAAGAGCGTCCCTTCCCTCAAAGGCCGCTGATCGGGTGGTGGGCCGATGGCTCCTGGTCTGCAGTGGAACGGTGGCTGGAGCAGTTATTCTTGGTGGAGTAACTAGGTGAGTAGTTTGCTCATAGTGAGTCAGGTATTTGGGTTTTTAGTAGACACACAGGATGACTGAGGGGAAAGGGACCTTAGGGATCATATAGTCTAGCTCTCTAATTTTACAGATGCAGAAACTGAGGTCTTAAAGAAGGAACATGTCTGATGGTTTTCCCTGCCATAAAACAGGTCAGTGTTTTATTCGCAGGAGCCTATCACCAAGACTAATTTAGGTCTTAACTGGTAGGTGTGCATTGTTTGTATATATTTTCTTCTCTCGTCCACATTCAAATTTATCTCAAAACTTTTCACTGTTTGCTTGTGTGAATTAAACCCTTAGGAGTTCCATACATCACAATTGGTTCATATGCCTTAGTAGATTCTCTTTAAATCTATGAACAAACATTGTAGATTTAGACTTTCTGTTCCTGATTTGCAGGGGTTTTTTGTTCTCAAAGAAGCCCACATCATTTGTCCTATGGTTATCTATAGTCTGGATTTTGCTGACTGTTTGTGGTGATGTTTAACATGTCCCTTCATTCCCTATGTGTCCTGTGAATGACTAGTTGCTTGATCAGATTCAGATTGAGGATGAAGGGGCAAAATACCAAAATACTTTATAGGCGATTAGAACATTCATGAATAATAAAGCGTTTGTGTAAGTATATAATAAGTATAATAATTTGCTTATAGATTTAGACGCATTTGATATGTTTTAGTCCCCTGTGATGATGGTGTTGATGATTTGCTTAAACTGTCCTATAATGATAGCAGGTGGGACTCTCTTAAAAGTGTCTTTTTGATAGTCTTAGTTACCTTTGATAGACTCCTTGCTTTCTGATAAGAGAAAATATTCCAGGCCCATTTTGTATAGTTCTTGCTCCTGGTCTAAAATCAGACATCGAAGAACCCACCCTGCCTGACTCTTTTTGGTAAAAATATTTTCTGGTTTTAATAAAATGTGTATTCCTCAAATTCTGTCCATATTCCCAGTGCCCTTATTTCACAATGCCTGATATGTTAATAAGCTATTATGGGAAACTACAACAAATTTGAATATTATTGTCTTTAAATTCACAGAAGAACCTAGACCTGTATGCCTATAACAAATTTCTTTTTCCTGTGTAAATAATGTTCGTTATGACTGAGGATGTAGCTCAGTGGTAGAGTGTGTGCTTAGCATGTGCGAGACCCTCGGTTCAATCTCTGGCACTAAAAGAAAAAGAAAAAAAGTGTGTTGGTTATGCATTTAAGATGTATTTCTTTGGTCTAAAGGTTGATTTGGGCTGTCAAGGAAGGCTAGTGAAAGAATTAAGGGCGGAAAGTTCAATGAAAAGATTGAGAGAATAAGAAGGTAAAGAAATGGATACCTGATGGGAGCTGTTTCTTACAAATTCTAAGCAGTAGAAGAGAAAGGTGTCAAAAGAGGAAACAATGAAACTATGGGTTTACTTTTAGTGGGGTTAATGTTAGATCTGCTTATTGCTATAAACTCTTTATGAATAATCTAGCATCATACCCACACTCAAAATTTTATTTCCTATCCTAAGGCTGACAGAGTCTGGCCTCTCAATGGTAGACTGGCATTTAATAAAGGAGATGAAGCCACCTACAAGCCAAGAGGAATGGGAAACTGAATTCCAAAAATACCAGCAATTTCCAGAATTTAAAATGTAAGTATTAGAATCAGGTAAACATCCCACTAACCCCATTCTTTTTTTTTTCCCCCCGGTACTGAGGTTTGAACCCAGGGTCACTTAACCACTGAGCCATATCCTTAGTCCTTTTTATATTTTATTTAGAGATAGGTCTTGCCAAATTTCTTAGAGCCTTGCTAAATTGCTGAGTCTAGCTTTGAACTTAGGTTTCTCCTGCCTCAGCCTCCCAAGTCACTGGGATTACAGACATGTGCCACCATGCCTGGCAGCCATTCGATTTTTTGCTGACTTTAATTCAGTAGATTCCTTGATCTTTGGTTCAGTTACATTTAGTGAGTTACCTAATCTAAACTTTTAAGTCCAAACTTATCCTGAGGTTGCTGATGAGGAAGCAGGCTCAAGTTTGAGAATCTTTCTGCATTCCATAGGTAAATAAAATCGGAGGGATGTTTCCTCTTTCTTCATTTTTGGCTTCCCATTTCACTCAGCTTGAATCACAACATGACGCTGGCAGAATTCAAGTTCATCTGGTACATGGAATACTCACACCGGATGTGGGGTCGCATTGTAGGCCTTGCATACATCTTACCTGCTGCTTACTTTTGGAGAAAGGGCTGGCTTAACCGTGGCATGAAAGGACGTGTTCTTGCTCTCTGTGCCTTAGTATGCTTTCAGGTAAGATGAATTTAAGATTGGGACATCAGAGAGGCTCCAAGGACCTTCCTAGATGGTATTATTTTTAAAGACGTAATCCTTGAAACACCGCAACAGTATGGTTAAGAGTATGCATTTTGTATCACAGGCATTAAACCCTGGCCCTGCTACATAGTAGGGCACATTGTCTGACCTTTGTAAGCTATGATTTCCTTATATGTAAATGGGGATAATAATGAGGCCTGTCATTTAGGTTTGCATGGATGGTGTACATAAAACACTTAGTTGAGTATCTAGAATTGGCTCAGTAAATACCTTTTCATGTGCCAAAAAAAGTAGAGTTTATTTCCCATTGTGGTTCTCCTACTGAGTTCTCTTCTCTTCCCTTTGTCTTGCTTGCTTGCTGTATTGGAAAGTGGGATCCCCATGTTAGAATTGCTATAGAAGCAAATAGGAAAACATTTTATGGGATGAAGGATCTTAGAATACAGATGTAGCTGAGAGATATTTAAGTATAAATGGTGTTTAAAATCATGTAAGTGGAACTCCTCCTAAGGAAGAGAGTGTTGAAAGACCCCCACAATTAAGAGGTTAGGTAAAGCTGAGAGCCAAGAAAATGAATCATGAGAGAAGACACTTAGAAGTATTTGGGTAGAAGTACAGAGGTCCTAAGGGATGGTATGAGAGAATCAAAGAAACATCATCAAAATTTGTTCAGGAGAAAGCTATTGGTTAATTTAACTCAGAAGTGGTAAAAATACAATCCAATTACAAGGGATTAAGGAGGTAATAGAAACAGAGGTAGACACTTATAAAAGTTTACTAGTTAACTCTTAAAGTCAAGTGGAACAAAATGAAAGTAAGTATTTTAGAATTAAATAGACACTAAAAACAGACTCCCAGGGAGGGAGAAATTTAAAATGTTAGGTAGGGTTATGGGAAGAAGAAAGTGGAGGCTGGTGAATCACAGTGTATGTACCTTCATCTTCTAAATGTCACACAGATGAAATCAAGGTAATTAGAATAGCCAGGTAGCCTTGAAAGGGGAAAGAAATGCCAAAAACATTTTCTGAAGAGTATTTATTTAAAAGGAGTAGTAGAATCCCCCTACTTTGATGTGGATTCTACTGGCTTGAGAGTGTGG